GAAGGGGAAGGGGCATGACATTTAAATATCTAACGAAATGATGTAACTGCTAGCAATCAGGTGCAGTCACGTGGCCATTAAAAATGGAGTGGCGGGTAGAGAAAAGCAAACACGTGTCAATCATCTAAGTCCAGAACACCGTAGCTAGTGCTACAACGCTACGACTACTGGACTGGGGGACTTGATGGTGTGCCTAAGGCAGCACAATAGAGTCGCGTCCAAGCCCTAAAGTCGGGCACACCAGCCAGGCTCAGCCCAGCAGGCTCAGCGCCCGTTGGCGCCCCCAAGAGCAGAACGCTCGGGCGGAAGGCTCGCGCCCGCCAAGTGACGCTCCGTGCTCCAAGACAAAAGACACGGTCAGGAGAAAAACAGTGGGATCAGAGCATTACCGTCAGAGCCAATGAGGGCGCTTTAGCAGTTGAAGGCACATGACCCTCCAATCAACGCCTTTGATCCTGTCTCCCCAGAAAAGTGATCTTGTCTGGTACGGACCAGGCAGGGACGCTAGGTATAAAATGATGCATTCTCAGGCTAGCGAGGTAAGTTCTCTGGTCTATCTAGAGAATACATACACAAACCCTAAATCATCCTCTAACTTGACCATCGAAGCGTTCTTTCGGGAGCTCCTCCCGGAAAGCGGCTGACGGCCTCTGTTCTATGTGATTTTGCCGTAGTAATCAAGCAACCAGGAAGAGCCTAACCGAAGCACAAGCAAGGTCATACGGGGAACGAGGTTCCATCACTTGGTGACTATGGAGTAAACCATGGCGACGGTGTGACTTCGTGCCTATACCTCAGGTTAATCCTTAAGAATGAAGGATAGATGATTCTTAGGGTAGATCCTTAAGATAAATGGAGATAATGGAGGATGGGTAATTGGGTTGATTGTTTGATGATTAAATACAATAATTATATTATTGTGGGTTGAAAACCCTATATGCTCACCAGGCTCCCAAACCTTACCTACTCAGTTTTCTTTGCATTACAGGTAATGACACAAGAGTATAAGTTGGTGGACTTGACGAGAGATTTTGGATTATAGATCAGTAGTTATAAATAACTGTTGTAAGGTCTATTTTATATTGTTTATGCTTTTGGTCTGTATCGGAACATGACATCCCGAGATTTTGTTATTTAATGAAAATACATCTCTTTAAGAAATGCTTTGATAAATTTTATTTTATCATATTTTATTTTGGGAACAAATTCCGCAACTCTTTTAATCAAAGGATTACTCTGATTTTATAAAACAAATCGGTCTTTTCTGACCGTGAAATTGGTGATGTCACAACAACCAACGTCGGTGGTGCACGGTGAAGGCAACAGTAGCACTATCGGCAACAGTAGTTGTTAGCAGTGGCAGCGACAACAAGCCATGATGACAACAACGACTACGAACGTTGGTCCCTCCGATGATCGCCACTTTGTCCATGTCTTCGCCGGTGACGGGATCACCGGTGGGTTGAGCAACAGTATGGAGGTGGCAGAACATAAGAAACGCGAATAGTGTGGCGGTTCCACCAAAAATAGCACCATCGATGCTCCAGGGTGAGTTTCTTCCGATCTCCCGTTGCCATGATGTCTAATGGAGGTTTTCCGTCTTCAATGAGGTGGCACAGTAGCGGCGACTCAGTGGTAAGAGAAGCAAGAGGGTAGGATGGCGGCCGGTGAGGGATGTATAAGGGAGAGGTGACGACTGCTAAATCATTTAGGGTTAGGGTTTTGTATGTAGAGGGTGGCGGGTTATAAACCCCCACCATTTTAAAACGTTGGTATATTTACGAGTCTGGTCCCTCCCTTCCCTTTTCTTTTAAAAAACAAATCCATAGCTTACCTTTTTAACCCTCAACATTAAAATTCATTACAAATCAAGTACAATACTTACCAAACAGCCCTCCGTTTTTGAATTTCTTTGCAAAGCTAGTCCAGAAGTTACCCTTTTAACCCCCAATATCTTAATTATGACATATTCAGCCCTTCCACCTCTTTTTCCTTTTAAATTAAATATGAAATTACCCAAATAACACTTAGTCTTTAAAATCATTTCAAGTTGAGTCCCAATAATTGACCAAGTAGTCCATATCTTCATAAATACTTACAAAACCAATCCGGAACATACACTTTTAACCCCCAACTTCTAAATTGGGTCATTTAACTCCTTGAATCCAACACCCTGTTATATAATTATTGATTTTAGGGCTATTATACATTTATTTATTTATTTATTTAATAAACGGGGTTTTACATCATTCCTAGATCCTTAGCCCTAATCTAGCATGCAGTTCTCATAATCATATCACATCATAACATAACGTGTGTGGGCATCTTGGGGAAAACTTACTTAAGCTTGACCGATTGAACGCATCACACACCTTGTTCTTTCTCAAACCTTCTTATTTTTAAATTTTAGGAAAGATATTTTCTTGTAAAAATCTTTCAAACCCTCGATTTGAGTCCAGACACCCCTGATGGCGTGTTCGAATCCCTCAAACCAAGGCTCTGATACCAACTTCTAACATCCCAATTTTCAAGACCAAATTTTTTTGTTTTTCTTTAAGTAACTCATAAAACAATTTACAAAAAAAACATCAACGATTCATATCATTTCATAAAAACTTAGCCATGTGTCTCAAGAACCATAACATAAAATAGTAATAATGTCAGAGTACAATCCCATGGATCTCAAAATGCAGAAATCATATGTGTGCGATGCGCCGCTACCGTGCCAGCTCCTTCCTCTTCGCTGAAGAGGTACCTAAAACAAAACTAAAAACTATAAGCACGAAGCTTAGTGAGTTCCCTCATCATACCACATACCATACAAATCACATATTACTGAGCATATCTGGGTGCCCGACCTACCCTGTTAGGCATAACTGGGTGCTCGACCTACCCTGCTGAGCATACCAGGGTGCTCAACCTACCCCACTGCCAGGCATATCTAGGTGCCCGACCTACCCTCCGGTGTATCTCAACCGGTTACGGGGACTATTTCACCCCTACCACTACTACATAATAACATAGCATAACATAAACATACCATCTAGCATAACTGGCTACTAGACTACCCCGTGGGCCCTATCGACCGGTAACTAGGGACTATTCCCCCTACTACTACTATTAAATAAGTCATATCATGCTAACACATAATCATAATAGATAACAACATACCAACTAATTATCACGAAGACAATTATCTCTACTATGACTCCTACTAGTGGGTCGGCCTTGGTGCCTTAGACCCATTTCTACTGGAAGGTAACTCACCTCATTGTCGTGCAGTAACTGAACTGTCCTCGGTGCTGGAACCGACTCCTCTCAAACTCTTATACATACAACCTTCCTTAATTACCATTTCATACTCTTAACCCTTTCAAGGGTTGCTTAGGTCAAAGCCACAATCAAGGTCAACATCTTGGTCAAAGTCAACTCTGGGTCAAATTCAACGCCTGGTTGACTCGACTTGCCGAGTTTCCCCCACAACTCACCGAGTCCCCGAATCCTCAAAACCCTGAAACCTCGACGCTACTCGCTGAGTTCTCCCTCATACAAAAGTCGGGACCTTCTTCAACTGACTCGCCGAGTTTATCCTTGAACTCGTCAAATTCTTTTTCATGCAAGAAGACACCAATAGTCATGGAATCGTTGAGTTCCTTATGAACTCGTCGAGTTCGTCTTCATGCAATTGGGACTTGTCCTGAACTCGTCGAGTTCTGATCTTGAATTCGCCGAGTTCCATGATTTCCAGGTCCATCATCACATCTAACTTGTTGATTCCTCTTTTAGACTCAACGAGTTCGATCAAAGCAAAAAAGGGTTGGGGAACCATAACCCGACTCATCGAGTCCCATGAAAGACTTGCCGATTCCTCCAAAGTCTATGTCCATACAACTGATTACAGTCGGGTTTAACACATCCAAAACATAGATCTAGCCTCCTAGGGTCCACAATTATGAATTAATATGTTTATTAAATTATGAATATGATATTTTGAACCGTAAATTCGTGAATTAATATGTTTATTACCAGAGAAATAGGAGTTATAATGTTTTTTCTACCGAATTATGAATACAACTAGAAAAATACCACTGAATTTATTGGTAGTCTGACGACGGTCCGACGACAAATGACACCTGATTGTAAACTATGTAAAATTGTTTGATTCATATAATATTAATGTTTGATTTATCCAAAATGAAGTTAATAAAAAAAAATTAAAATGATTCTTAGAATTCCTAACCATTTTTTAATCTTGATAAATGAATAATTTATAATATTTTACATAAAAACCTTATTACCTTAGAGTAGGGGTGTTCACGGTGCGGTTTTGGTGCGGTTTAAAGTTGAAACCGCGAACCGCACCTCACATGTGGTTTGAGTTTTTTGAAAACCGCAAACCGCACCACAAAAGTTCTATGCGGGCAGTTTGTGCAGTTTGATAAGTTGTTTCAATTTATAACTTTGGCTGTTATTCATTACATTTAAACACTTTCAAAATTTATTAATTATATTGCATACCCTTTAAAAGGCATAGATATTCCAAACAAACAAAATCACATAATATTTTGCTACGTTGTTATGACTTATGAAATTTGATATTATAGTCTTTTAAGTTTTTAATTATCATATTTAACCATCGTGATATAGAATAACTTTATTGGACAGTATGAAGTATTTGGTGATTGGAAACTTTGATATATATATATATATATATATATATATATATATATATATATATATATATATATATATATATATACACACGATGCGGTGCGGTTTGAACCGTAGTTTGGTAACTATAAACCTCAAACCGCACCACATAGTACGGTTTGATAAAATTACGAACCGCAAACCGCACCGCGAAATTCTAAATCGTATTATACGGTGCTGTTTGGTGCGGTGTGGACGGTTTATGCGGTCTTTTGCACGCTCCTACCTGTGGAGTTGTTTTTCAAGATATTTCCATTTTAAAGGTTACAAAAGTTTTTTTTTTTTGGCAACAAATATGTAATCGTTGAGGCCGGAAATGTGACATTATTTTCATTTATCGCCCATGATCCTTGTTACGGCAGTCTGACCACCGGTAAACACTCATCCTGCCGCTTCTCTTTTCTTCTCCTCGGCCAGAAACCAATGCGGGTGCCAACTACTGGCGTCGGAAAAGCCACCTCCTCCGCCGCCGCCACCGAATTAAGCACCAAATCAGACGCGGCATTCGATTCGACACACCTCGACTTACCCTTCCAACTGATCAAATCGGAAACTATCCCTCCTGCTCCGACCCGAACCGAATCCGCCATCGATTGGTTACCGGACTACCTAGGTCACGCATGGATTGCCTACGCAGCCTCGTCGCTTCTCCTGATCTCTCACTTTCCATCTCCTTCTGAAAACAACGAAAGCCCTGTCGATCCCATTTTCCGGCAAGTTATTGAACTTTCCTCCGACGGCTCCGGGGATGTCTCTGCGGTTTCATGGTCTCCGTCTGTGCTGTCGTCTGGAGAAGTAGCAGCCTCCTTGGACAACCGTATTGGAGTATTTTCACATAATTCAGAAGGTTAGTTAGTATAGAACCTTGTTGTATATGCAAACATATTTGAATATTAAGCTTGAAGTTATGCTACTGTTTTCTTAGTGATAGCTTTCCATTTGATATCTAAATGTTCTTGGATTAATTATACAAAGCTGGCTACTTTCAAGAATGAAAAAGCAACATCCCTTGAATGCATCCTGTTTAACATGGTCTTTAAAATCATGGAATCGAGATCCTAATCGGCAAAATAATGCATTTTCTCTCTAACGAGCCAAGGACTTCATATGTTTGCAAGTTCAATGTAGAGCATCATATAAACTATATTTATATTCTTGAATGAGAGGATTTTGTTGTTGTTAATCAGCATAAGATGTCAATGGTGCAAAGGTTACTAGGATTTATAGTTGATGGATCTTCATGTGGAGTAGGTGTAAGTGTAACTTCCCAACTTCAAAAGAAGTACATCCCAATATTTTTCCTTTTAAAACAATGGAAGCTTTACAAATAGTTAAGAAAATACATACTTCATTCACCAAGGGAACATACAATAAACAAGTTATATCATCATGACCAATCATACATAAACATATTATCGCATCCTTTACATAACCAACACCTTATATGCTTTTCATTTCTCATTTGAGTAAAGTACTAATTCAAAACATGTCATTTCAAACATCCTTAACTTTGATACATCTATTACCTTGAAAAGCTTCATCTTTTACTCCCAAACTTGGATGTTGTACATTTGAACTTTCTTACTCATATTCAGGTTCTTTTTGTTGGAGCCAGACTGCAATCCTTGTGCAAGCCACAAACATCAAGGCCATTAAATGGACAGGTTCAGGAGACGGATTAATCTCAGTTGGAATCGACATTGTCTTATGGAAAAAGAAAAACTTCTCTTGGGAAATCTCTTGGAAATTCACACCCGAGTTCCCTCAAGCTTTACTTTCTGCCACCTCATCAATCGAAGGCCCATTTGCAACTGCACCTCTAAACAAAGACACCAACAATTCTGTACTAATTGGTCATGGAAAATCAAAATCCATCAAATCTGAACTCCATCATCATGTCCCCATTTCCATGATCCAATGGAGACCTTTAGTAGCAAACCAATGGAAAAAGAAACCCACAAATGCCCTCAAGATGGTTTTGCTAACATGTTGTGCTGATGGAACTGTAAGATTATGGAGTGAGATTGATGATGGTAAGTCCAGGAAGACAACAGGGAAGGGCAATAAAGACCAATCATCTTTTCGAGTTGCTGCAACAATTGAGATAAATGAAACCCTAAATGGCATTCTGGGTTGTGATGTTTTCATAAGATGGGGCACTGAACTTGATGGTATTGTTAACATTGGTAAAAAGGGTACTCAATATTTTCCTTCAGAAGAGTATCACCATGGTAAATCTGGGAAATGTGATTGGTTAATTTCTTTTGGTCCTCAAATGATGGTGACCTTTTGGGCTATCCATTGTATTGATGATTTTTCACCACTTAGATTCCCACGAGTTACAATGTGGAAAAAGCAAGAGTTACCAGGTTCCAAAACAGGAACAAGTTTTCTACTAAACAAATCTTTCATATCAAGAAACGGATTCTTTGGCCCACCAGACGTATGCTCTGTAATTCACTTATCACCTAAAAATCATTTGAAGTGGTTACAATTTCATAAACACACATCAAATACAACTGATTCGATTTTGTCTATTGCTAATGGAGCTTTAAACATAAATGGTCACATTGGAAAGATTTTGCAATTTGCATTGCATCCTTATGGAGCTTACCCTGAACTTGCTGTTTCTTTAGATGCTAATGGAGTGATTCTATTTTGGTCACTTTTGAGCTCTGGCTTCAAGCTTTCTGGAGAGTTTGGAGTCCAAGATTCTCAATGTGAATACACTAGCTTGAGGTGGGTCCCTTCATTAATAGATGATCACAGGGTTTTACTAATGGGACATTCAAGAGGCATAGATTGTTTTTTAGTTGAAGTTTGTGAAAATGAAGGCTTGATATCATGTCAGAAACTATCTACTATCCCTTTTGATTGTGATGAAAATGGGCCCACGAGTATATTTTCAATTCCTTTGACTTCTACATGTAACACCTTTTTGTATAACAAATTTATGGTGTTAGCTATATGGAAAGAGAAGGACCACTTTCGGGCATTATCATGGAAAGTTACAATTCATCCTTCAGATATGCCAGGTGGCGAATGTAAATACAGTATTGACTTTGACCTTTGTTCATCTACATTTCCAGATCCATACAACCGTGATAACATTACAAGCAATTCTGTGGTTGGTATGTATAACTTCTCTTCATCTAAAGAACAGGAGGAAAGTTTTGTTGGTGAAATGTTTGACAATTCTGTTGCATATCATCTAATTACTGGATCTTTTGATGGTAGTTTAAAACTATGGAGAAGTATGGATCAAGAATGGGAATTAGTAGGTAAAGTTGCTGCTCATGTGGGCCCGATTATGAAAATAAGTTCAACTGATTGTGGTAGAAAGATTGCAACTTTATCTAACGAAAACACTATTTATATATGGGAATGTGTGTATCTTGGAGGAATTGGGAGTTTTTTACTTGAAGATACAATAAATCTTGATGGAGGTGGTGGTGTTGTTGGTTTGGATTGGTTGACTATAGGTAATGGTCAACTTCTGCTTGGAGTTTGCTTGCAGAATGAGGTGCATGTGTATACCATGAGGCGTTGTGTAAGTTCAGAAGAATCCAAGGATGGAAGTAAAAATAGAAATATTTGGTTTTGTGTTGCAAAAAGACAAACTTGCCCCTGTATCCGTGATTTTCTTTGGGGACCTAAAGCGACAGGTGTGATTGTTCATGATGACTACTTTTGTGTTTTCAGCCAGTGGGTACTTCCAAATGGTGGATCTGATGGATTTAAGGTCCCTGAAATTATTTATGATTCTGATACCCATGCTTTTGAAAACTTGACATTGAAAGATCAACGGAAATATAATAATAATAATAATAATACCAATAATACAGGTATTGGTGTAAGGAGTGTTTTGGAAATAGCAGAAAATGTTGGTGGATCTCTTCCTACTTATCACCCTGAAGCTCTTTTGGTGAATATTTATTCAGGAAATTGGAAACGTGCACAAAGTGCACTGAGTCATCTCTTTGAACATCTTACAAATACCAAGGATTTGAAAACAAACCCTAGAATCCCACAAATGAGCTTGTCAGACTATCTTGAAGGACTAATTTTGAAAAATTCAAACAACAAAGCGTTCAAATGGAGTGGTGACACATATTCAAACACATCCACATGGGATTCTAATTCCAATGGTTTTAGCAATTCAATCGATTCCAGTCCTAAAAACTCTGGATTGAGTGGATTCACTGATTCCATTGAGAAGTTAGACTTTTCAGACAATGAAAAGATGCAAATTCTTGCTGTTATTGATCTTCTTGATGAAATTAGCAATTCAAACAAATCATCACCATATGAAGGTCTTGACATACCTGGTAGAAGGTTCTGGGTTGCAGTAAGGTTTCAGCAGCTTTATTGTGTGAGAAGACTAGGGAGACCACCATCCAAGGGCGATTTGGTCATTAACTCATCCCTTATCGCCTGGGCTTTCCAATCCGATTGTCAAGAAAGTTTGTTTGAATCACTTCTGAATAATGAATCATCATGGGATGAAATGAGAACCATGGGTGTTGGATTTTGGTACACAAATCAATCACAGTTGAGAGTCAAGGTACTTTTACAAAATACAAACCCTAATTAATATAGTTAATAACTATACTATGCATGTTTTATAAACTTGGCTAAAATTGCAGATGGAGAGGCTAGCAAAACAGCAGTTTTTAAAAAACAGGGATCCAAAAGCTTGTGCACTTCTTTACATAGCTTTAAACAGGATACAAGTTTTGGCAGGTCTTTTTAAAATCAGTAAAGATGAAAAAGACAAACCACTGGTGGCATTTCTTTCACGTAATTTTCAGGTTAGTTTTTTTAAAAAAAAAAAAAAAGATAAATAAAAGTAATTTATATATGTAGTGTTATTGGATGTTAATGAAGTTTGTACAGGAGGAGAAAAATAAAGCTGCTGCTTTGAAAAATGCTTATGTGTTAATGGGAAGACATCAGCTGGAGCTTGCTGTAGCTTTCTTTTTGCTTGGAGGTGATACTGCTTCTGCTATTAATGTCTGTGCAAAAACTCTTAAAGATGAACAACTTGCTCTTGTGATTTGTCGTCTTCTTGAAGGGTATAATGGTCCATCAGAACATTATATTATATCAAAGTTTCTGCTTCCATCTGCTTATGAAAATGGTGACTACTGGAAGTCAAGTTTCCTTGAGGTAATAACATTAGATATAACCCTTAGTTTTTTTAATTAAAAAAGAGAATCTGATGAACTTTATGGATTTTTTCAGTGGATATTGGGGAATTACTATAAATCCTATCTGAGTTTAATTGGTGACCAAATGGATTTCTCAAGCAATAACTTGGCCTTTATAGATCCAAGCATTGGTCAATATTGTCAAATGTTGACCAACAAAAACCAGATGAAAAATGCTATTGGAGAACAAAATACCTCAATTCTTGTTAGATGGGGTGTCTTAATGAGCTCTACTGCATTAAGCAGATGTGGTTTACCTGTAAGTTCATCTCTATTTACAATTATTATTATTATTTTTAAAAAAAAATCATTTGCTGATGTTTCTAGAGTATTCTATTTTGTTCCTTTTAGCTTGAAGCTTTGGAGTGCCTTGCAACTTCTAACAGCATATTCAGTGGTTCAACTCAAAGTGCATTAGATAATTCAGAATCCAAAATTCTGAATGAGAGACTGAATCCATCTTCATCTTCTTCAAATTGGGTATCTGCTGACGTGGCATTGTGTATGCTCTCACATTCAAAATACAGTTTTGCAATGCAATACATTTCAAATATGTTAACAGAGCATCCAAGTTGGCCAGAAAATATCCAAACTGAAGCTATTCAGTATAACACACAGCTTTCTAATTTTGGAAAGAAGTTAAACACAGGGCTTGCTTATTTTGAGCAGAAGTATTCCTTAAATCGCCACCATCTGATTAAGATGGTATTTTTTTTTTTTTTTATATTTTATAGTGAGCATTCTATTGTGTCTTTTTTTAATTTTCATTTTTCTTTATTGTTCAGATTACAGGTTATTTATACAACCAGGAACTCATGTTTATTGCTTGTGATATATTGCAACATGACACATCTGAAGATATTTCACACAGAAATCCATCATTCCCTTCACTGCCAGCTGTCCTTCTGAAGTCCATTAAAGATTTTTCCTATTTATTTTCAAGGTATATCATATTTTGTAGAATGACTTGCTCTGAGACAAAACCACATTCCATTTATATGAAGAATCTTTTGCTGATGGTGTCAAAGATAAGAAATGGGCTGAAATTGCAAAGCTTTCCACAATCGCCCTTATTCGTTCTTGATTTATGTGAATACTACATATATTTCGCATCCATTTGGTTTCAAAAAGATTCTGGAAGTCTCATTATTGTTTTGAAACAAATTCTGCTTACATATTCCAATGAATCTTCATCTTCATCTTCTTCATCCTATGATTCTAACATGGAAACCTTGAAGAAGATCCTTCCGGAAATAGCCATGTTGGTATGTCACAATAGAATGAATGTGGGGCCCGAAAGCGATAAATGGCAGATTATACGCGCTTTTTTGTGGGGACTCATGTCTGGATTTCTGAAATACCAAATTGATTCCATTCCGGAGAATCTTAAAGATAATTACTCAGTGGAATTGACCAAGTTACTAAAACTGGAATCAGAGGATTCCATATCTTATTGTGCAAAAGAGCTTGCGTCATTTTTACTGCAGAAAGGGAGGGACCAGTCAAACGATCCCATAATATTTTGGTTGGAAGATCTGTGTAGGTCAACGCCGATAACCACTTTTCAGAATTTTGGTCAAGGAGTTGACTTTTCTAGAATAATGAGTAACGAAGATGGATTATCAGATTTTGAAGTACTTTGGAATGTGTTTGATAATTATAGAATGTTATGTGGAGATTTTGTGGTGGAATATTCCAAATGGTCGAAGCTTATCAAACAGAAACACTCTAAAGGATGGAGTGACACGTATGCAGACATCATAGGTGACCATGAAGCTTCTGAAAACGATAATCGAGATGGGATTTCATCTCCTGTAACGGAATTCACGATTCCATTCCAGAAACCGAAAGAAGTACAGAAAGCAAACGGAGAACTTCTCGAGGTAGTAAATGCTTCATATTTTTTTCTTCATTTCTCCAAGCAACAGAATTCATGATTCCCGATGTTTTCAATCGAACAGGCATTATGCATCAATTCCATCGATCAACAGCAAGCTGCAATCGCTAGCAATAAGAAGGGGATAATATTTTTTAACTTTGAAGATGGACGAACTTGCTTTGACAAGTCAAATTACATCTGGACAGATGTCGATTGGCCAACAGACGGGTGGGCAGGATCCGAATCCACTCCCGTCCCGACATGTGTTTCCCCTGGAATCGGTCTCGGAAGCCGGAAAGGCACACAGCTCGGCTTAGGAGGAGCCACAATCGGAGTCGGTTTAGCAAAACCCGGAATCACAGGGGTAAATACGTCAAGTCTGGGTTGGGAAATCCAAGAAGATTTTGAAGATTTCATCGATCCACCTGCAACTGTAGACAATATCAGAACTAGGGCTTTTTCAAGTCACCCTTCTAGACCCTTCTTCTTAGTCGGTTCAAGCAATACACATGTTTACCTTTGGGAGGTAAATGAAGCTACTACACACATTTGATTTTATCATCAAAATTCCATTTCTTTGTGGTTTGTATGTAATTAATCGTTGTTTTCGGGGGGTAGTTTGGTAAAAACACAGCTACAGCTACATACGGAGTCCTCCCCGCTGCAAATGTCCCACCGCCTTATGCTCTTGCCTCAATCTCAGCCGTACAATTTGATCACTGTGGGCAAAGATTTGCTACAGCTGCATTAGATGGTACAGTGTGCACGTGGCAGCTTGAGGTTGGAGGAAGAAGCAATGTTCGTCCTACTGAATCATCTCTCTGTTTCAACAACTACACATCGTATGTTATTCTCATCACTCCAATAAAAAAAAAAAAAAAAAAACTTTTTTTCTTATATTGTAATTTTGCAGGGATGTGATGTATGTGACTGCAAGTGGATCAATTGTTGCAGCAGCAGGTTATAGCTCAAACAATGTAAATGTAGTAATATGGGATACGCTTGCTCCACCTACCACATCTCGAGCTTCCATCATGTGTCATGAAGGTTTATTCCCTATTTTACCCTTTCCAGATTTGAAGATTTAAATTAATTAGGTCTAAATTTGTGTGATTTTATTTTTAGGTGGTGCGAGATCTATTTCTGTATTTGCGAATGATATAGGAAGCGGTTCTATTTCTCCACTTATTGTGACGGGTGGAAAAGGTGGAGATATTGGAGTTCATGATTTTCGTTACATAGCAACAGGAAGACAAAAAAGGAATAAAAATTCTGATAATGTTGAACAAAAATTTAACGCGTCTTCAACTGCTGGATTACAAAATAAACATGGGGACCACAATCGGAACGGGATGCTTTGGTACATACCAAAGGCCCACTCAGGTACTTTCTTCTTTCTTTCTTTCTGTATTGTCGTTCTTTCTGTATTAAGTTAACCAGATTAAGCTGTGTGTGTAGGGAGTGTTACTAGAATAGCAGCGATTCCAAATACGAGTTTTTTCTTAAGTGGAAGTAAAGATGGAGATGTGAAGCTTTGGGATGCTAAGAATGCAAAATTGGTATATCATTGGCCAAAATTGCATGATAGACATACATTTCTTCAACCTACCTCACGAGGCTTTGGAGGGGTAGTTAGGGTAATCTCTCTTTCTCTCTCTTATTTATTTATTATTATTATTTTTTAAATATATAATATGATATGATTATGGTGTATGTACACTTTGCAGGCTGCCGTGACAGATATTCAAGTTGTTTCAAATGGGTTTCTTTCATGTGGGGGAGATGGTTCTGTTAAGTTGGTTCAACTTAGAGATTTATGACATGGGTATTTTCGGTATTTTTTGATGTGTGTGTGTGTATATATAGGGTAAGTAAATCATCCAATTCACCTTGATAATTTTCACTTCACAAATCACACTGGCCAATTGAAAGATTGGAGTTCGTAACTGTTTTGATTATGATTGTTATTTATAGGTTCTTTTTAGTTATATTTTTTTGTTTAAAAGCATTTTTAAAAAATGTTTTTATAGTTATGATGTTATATCTTTTTAAGGAAAAGATTATATATTTATTTAAGGGAAAGATCTCTGCTTTATAATAGTAGATTTGCTGAGAAGGAAATGTTGTGAAGTTTAGTGTGATAAGAAGATTGCGTGAAGCATTCAAAGAACTTGTTTAAACGTACAAGTCAAAGTCATAATCAAATGCATGAACAAGATCTCGCTTATTTACTCACCAAATAAGGTTTTTCATTTTTGTTTGTTTAATGTCCTACTACTATTATAAATTAACTTTGATATTTGTTATTTCTTAAGATACTAGCTGTGTGATCCATATATTACATGGGTTTATTTAAAAAAATTAAATATAAAATTTTAACAATTTGAAAAGTTTAAATTTATAAGAAAAATGAGAAAAAAATTTAAATTATTAAAATTAGTGAGGTTTTAATACATTGAATACATTACATATATAAATTTTTTATAATAAATATCTTACATATATATTACCTTACATATTAAATGTGAAATTTTAATTTCATAAAATGAAAAATACAATAAAATGATAAGTGGTAAAATAAAAAATTCAAAAATTCTAAAAAATAATGTGTCCAAATGAAAAAGAAGATGATATGTGGTAAAAAAAAAAAAACCTTGATTTATTAAGGAGGATAAAAAGATACATCCTTCACAATGTATTTAACTCTATTAAATTTAGTAAGTTGTCACATAAACATTTCATTATACAACTTTTCTTATAATCCTTTTAACTCTAAAAATCAAAAACTATATATATATATATATATATATATATATATATAAGGTTCAATTGAGAAAATAAAAAAGATTGAGAATGGAGAATCATTCTCAGTCACTCATTTAATCTAAATATAAAAAGACACGGTGACAAAACTGTAAATATGTTAATAACCTTCAATCTCAAATATGTAACTATAGAGAATTCGATAATAGTTCGTTCATCATTAAAATTTTTCCTTTAACCTTCAATAATCATCTAGATGTCTTCAACTAAACCGAAATTTCTTCGCTGTTCATGAAATTGGAATCGAAGTTTTAGACTTACAGTCACAGTTGACATTGAAGGACTTAAAATCGGTACTCACAGGGTTCCAATCGGATTTTCGAAAATCAAAATCAAAATGAGAAATCGATCAAACATAGGATGTCACATCTGATGTCGAAATCGGAAGTATATGATGATTTGGAATTGATAACTTGATGTTTTTAACATTTTTAAAATAGTTAACTTGTATGCACTCCAACTGTCTGATGAAATGCATAAACTAAATTACCATATTATATTCATATATGAATATGTTTCTTACCTGAATCAGTATATGATTATTAAAAACACAAAACAAATATGTAAGACTGTATGTTATTCATATGTGAATAACATATAAAAATTATATATATATTTGTCAAAATACCTTCAAATATTCATAAGTGAATATATTCACAAGTGAATATACCTTGTAATATTTATATGTGAATATACTGTATAATATTCATAAGTGAATATATCATCTAATATTTAAAAGTGAATATACTATGTAATATTCATATATGATATACCATTTAATACTATGTAATATTCACATATGAAATATCATTTAATACTAATAAGTGAATATACCATCTAATATTCACAAATCAATATACTATGTTAATATTCACAAGTGAATGCATCGTCCAATATTAAAATATGAATATACTATGTTTATTATTTGCTATATTCATATATGAATAATATTTAAATTGTAAAAAAAAAAATCATATTTTTTATTCATAAGTGAATAACGAATGTACTGTAATAAAACCTGATGCATTTTTATTCACTTATGAATAACGATAGCTGAAAATATAAAAAAATAAATTTTTTATTTTATCTTAAAACTATATTAATATGGATGTCTATTTGTAGACAATAAAAAATCATGAATTTTGGTATATTTAAGATCAGTTTTTAATAAAAATAGCTTATAAAAATTAAAAAAAAAACCGAAAAAACAATGTTTTTGTATATATTAAGGTAATGATTAGCATAGTTTAAGGAAATATGTTTTGTTGGAAAACAAATGTGCATTCATTTCCCTTTTCCGCCGGTACGTTGGAGGCTTTTGCGGCAAAAATAAATGGTTGGGTGCCCCACCTAAGCTTAGGTACTAAACTTCTAAAATATGTCGTTTTAACATGCTAGATATACCCGGTTTGGTTTCACTTGGTAAATATATCATCCACCACAATATTTCTTTCTTTCATTATCGTTTTACCATCCCTGTTTTTTTCCCTCAATTATCGTTTATTACTTCACTCAAGTGAACATTACTAAACCCTAAACCTTAAATCTAAACCTTAAACCCTAAATCTAAACCCTAAACCCTAAACCCTATTGTGTCGATCTTGAATTTACATCTTGAAGTATTAATCGTGAATCCATTAACCGTAATCTTTATATCGTAAAACAATGTATTTTCAAGAGTTTTAGTACCTAAGCTTAGGTGGGGCTGTAATATGTGTGTGTGTGTATATATATATATATATATATATATATATATATATATATATATATATATATATATATATATATATATATATATAAAATAAATGTAGTACCTTAAGTAAAAACAAAAATAAAAGTGTACTGTTATGATTGTGTCTAAAAAGTTACAAGATATGCTACGTATTAGTTTGGTAACAACCGTAACAAAATATATTGAATTTAACTATGAGTTTAATATATATACAACCTCCGAGATATTGTTATAAAAAAGCTAGATATAAAGTATATTGAATCAATCCATACCACACCGATTTTTTTTTATCTATTGTGATTTGACTCATCATCCGCCCTTTCACCTTTTCTCTTTGTTTTTTGTTTCTTAAATGATGTTGATGAATTATTTAGCTAAAACTTTGTGGTTAGTCGGCTCTTGAAAACTTATTTTCTATCATGACAAAATGACGAATAATAACATTTTGCATGTTCGAAGTTCAATCATTCTATTTTGACCAATAACTAAGAAAGTCAAAAAACCAAAAATGCTAGAATTAACTAGTATAAATAGGGCTTAATTATACGTCAACATTTTTTTTAATCATTAATATCTGACATTTTATGAGTTACGAATCCGTCTTCTTATATATTGGAACAAGATATTGTATTATTATTATAATGGATTCAATATCAATTTCATCAACTCATATGTCACGTGACAAATCGAATAAATAGCATAGTAAGCGAATTTATATGGTTTGTTAAAATATCAATATATATAAAAAAAACTTATTATACTCGATATTTCTCTTCAAAAAGATTATAGCCAATATTATTTGAGCCGATGACTCATTAGTGTTAAAATTTGGAATCTACAAAAATGCAAGAAAGGGAATGACGAATAGTTGAGGAGTTTAAGTTTGGGATTGACAACTTAATGTTTATGATTGATTAAACTTATTTATGGTTTATTTTTCAATTTTTTTTTCATGAGTTCGATTTAATTTTTTTTGTGTAAGTCATAATAAGCTCATAAGTTTAAAAATAAGTTAGAAAAAATAACCTTATAAAAAATAAGCTCGGAAATAAACTGTAAATAAGTTTAGCCAAACAACCCTTTAACCGGTGACATTAGATGGGATGTTTGAGGTAAGAGAAATCAAAATTATCTCCTATCTTTTATACCTACAATTATTTCTACCCATTAAAATTCTGATAAATCACCATTCAATTTAATTTTATTTGATATATTCCTAATATATCGTCAATGAGTTAGTTAAAAGATATGGAATGATGATAGTTGTCATAATTTTATTTGGTAGAAATATTTGTATCTATAAAAAGTAAGAATCAATTTAATTTCTCTTAAAGTAATAATAATAATAAATAGTAATAAATAAATAAAATATGAAATCAGGAAAGGCTGTGTCAACTAAGTTATTATCATTTAATCTGTTTGTACACAAGACTTAAAAATCGTTAAACATTATGTATATAAATGGTAATAAGAAGTAGATTGCATGCAATTTAAGATTATATTTGAAGGAATTATATTCATCAAATTACATTTAAATGTAAAAAATCAATTGGGCTAATTTGGTTTGTTGATCCGGTATACGTAAATAAGTAAATAACCGTGATCTAATTATCATATTCAATTTTAAAAAATTAATAAAAACGTAGATCTAAATATAATATTCAGTTTTTAATACATTATTAAAAACATAATTGTTATATAATTGTAAACTTAAAAGACTTGCCTTATTAGTCTATTTCAAATATAAAATCAAGGTAAATTTGGTTTTATATTTCGATTTTAGCCTTGTAATTTAGAGATTTATGTGACATAGCTAATCACGATTTGTTGTTCAATCATACATGATTGAGTTTTATCTTTTTTTTTTGTCGGTTTAATACGTTAGGTGGAGTGGTGGACTATGCAAGTGTCTCTATCAAGAATCAACGTATTATATACTTCTAAAGATTACACCAACATATGATTCAACAAATACACCTTCATTATTAGTCCAACATTACAAGATATTTGTCAATAAAATGTGAGGAAAGTGTAATATCATTAGTTTATCTTATTAAAAATTTCAAAAAGTTGGTATATATGCTTTCTTCCAAAATATACATAATTTATTAAATTATTGTAACATAATTCAAAACACTAATTTTATTTTATATTTTTATCTATATATATGTAATGTAATATTATTTCTCTTTGTATGGAGTGTAAATTTAACCACGTGGTTGAGTAACAAGATGCCAAGTCTTAACTTATTTTCCTTAAATATTAATTCTTATTATTTTTTTCTTTTTTGGTAAGTTTTTTCATAAATAATAACGGCGTCGTTTTCGTAGGGAAATTCTGTTCTGATCCATGGCCGACAAAATAGGGGAAATTGATTAGGAGACCTTCGAGAGGTGATCATCTTTTATATAGAAACAAGATTCATTCCAATTCTTAATTCCTCCAAAAAGAACAAGAAACTCAGTACCAGGTTAGATTCTTTGCTTTCAGTTACATCTTCCTCATAATCTCTACTTTCCCCTGTTCTTCGTTGTCAATCATTATCATAAGAATCAAATCTTTTTACGTTCTGTATCATTGTTGATTACTTTTCATAGATGTAGTACACACTTTCAATCACCCTTTCGTTAAGTAATCAATCAGATTTCATATGTGGGTTTTATACGTTTAAGCATATGTGATTTGGTACAGCTTTAATTTCCTAAATTTAACGGCCGTTTTTTTTTTTCATTATGAAGCAGTTTGATGGCAGCAGCCGCCGCCGAAGCAAGGGCAGTTTGGCAACGTACGGCGAATCGATATTTCGTCCAGGAAGATGCAAAAAGAGCCCCTAAATTAGCATGTCGTCCTTCAACTTCATCTTCATCTTCATCGTCTAAACAAGCTGAAATAAAACCAGCTAATAACACTACTACAGATCGCAATGAAAGATTCCTTCTTCCCAACGAAAAATCTCTGTATTCCGACCTCTCACCGGATTCCAGATGGTGGCTTCAATTGCAGACTGATTATATATACCAAAGGGGTTTGACCAATTCTCATCAATTCGTCGAAAATCAAGATGGTAGTAGTAGTAGTAGTAGTAGTATCAATTCTCTCTCGAACGAATCTTTCGAGTTAGTGGACATTAACAAGGACTCAAAGTTGCAGCACTGGGTTGGGATTGAGAAGAACGGCGAGGTATCGCTTCCATGGTGGCAGATCGTCGGAAAAGATGATTCGGGTTCAGTTGTTTCAAAAAGATCACATTCGCACGATTGTATCGAGAATCGTCATCTTCCGGGATTAAAGCCAGAAAAGATGATCAAAGAAAAACCAAATCCTGTGAGTGATTCAAACAGGGGAATTATATTGGAAGCTCTGAGACATTCTCAAACGCGAGCAAGAGAAGCAGAAAACGCAGCGAAGGAAGCGTACGCGGAGAAAGAGGATTTGGTGAAGGTCGTTTTGAGACAGGCATCGGAGTTGCTTGCTTGCAGACAATGGATTCGTCTTCTGCAACTTGAAAATCTTTATTACCAAATCAAGAACAAGAAGATGAATGATCCGAAGTTGTCTGTTTGTCCTTCCAAAAATGGGAAATTACAGAAGAAGAAGATGAAGAAGGGGAAGAGACGAAGCAGACGATATGAAGATGATTTAGGGACATATGCGGTTATTTTTGCGATGGGATTAGGGCTCGTTGGTGCAGGTTTGCTACTTGGGTGGACAGTGGGATGGATGTTGATCTAGAGAGATTTAGGGTTTGATTTTTGAAGCTTCTATTAATTAAGTGTACAAAGTTTGATTCTTGGATATAGCCATTCCTTGTATATACTTGGATCTATTTTACATATCATTCAATTTCTTGAAATTTTAAATTTATACATTTCTATGAAGAAAAATAGAAATAAAAGGTAGGAAGTCCATCTTTTAATACAAGTAAATGATTGATTACCTATACTCTTTCAAAACTTAGAGGCGATAGTTACTATTTTAGTTAGAGCTGTTAAAAATTGATTGAGTTAAAAATTCTAGTTGAGTTAATTTAAACTTATTGTTTGATTTTGCATTTAATTGAGTATCCAAAATGATTATATTACCCTTAAACAACATTTAAACAACATTGTTTTTATAAAAGCATCCAAAATGACTATAACTTTTGTTTGAAGAAAAAACCTCAAACAACATTTTTTTATAAAAACATTTCATCATCCTTGTTTCTCCAAAGTTAAACATATCTTTTAAAACATAATAAATTAGGCGTACAAAAAAATACACAAGCCATTCATCTGTTTTCATTTGGAAATAGCAAATATATTTTTATGATAAATTTGTAGCATATAAAAATCATTCTTTTTTGTGTTTCAGTATTATGTTTTTAAATATACACATAATTTTTACATAAATACAAATATACAACTAAAATTCAATGAAATTATTCTTCATTATCACCAATCCAAGCATGAACTTTCACATGTTATCCAACAATCAGCACAGAACAAAAATTAACAAACAAACAAACGTATAATGGTTAAACAAAAATCAAGAAACAAACAAACACAAATGTGTGAACTGATCTATTCAATTTGAATTGAAAATGATAGATTGTCATTTAATTTTAATCTAAAATGAAGGATAACAACAATAACAGTTAAAAACGAGGAAAAAAAGCAAATAACATCACATTAAGCACAAATCGAGCAAAGCAAGAGGACACCAACAACAAATGGAACAAAAGGACAACAAAGTAGAAAATCACATAAAAATCGAACATTTTAGCAAGAATCGAGCAATAGAAAATGATAAAAAAGAAAATGAAAACTAACATTGTCAGCAGGTGCGTCGTCTCCAGTTGAGTGGTCGGAGGAAGAAAGCAGCCTTCGAGCAGCAGATTGGGATTGGGAGGAACGATGTCGCTACCTTTTTTTCTTTGTGGAGGTTGTCACAAAGCACAGGGTAAAATCGGAAATGAAAAGCCAACTCACGTTTTTGTCCTACTCCATCGATTGAAAGTGAAGGACCGAATTAGCCATTTTTCTTGGACTGAGTCCACAACATCAACCGAGTCTTTGATTTTAAAATGAAATCAAACATGCTGATTGATCTTTTTCGGACCAGGTCCTCTATTGGACCTAATTAGAAGTAATATCAAACGACTCCTTAGACTCTTTGGTATCAACCAGCCACATCAGCACACACCACCACCAACATCTAGGATGTGTTGTGTTCTATTCGACACCAAACAAGAGAACTTATGTGTGAAAGCATGTTAGCACCATCGTTTGTTCACGTTGTGACGATGCTCCAACCATCATGTCTAATGCGTGATTTGTGCATCGTCCACCTTTAATTTTCTCAAAAACAACAAAATAAATTTAAAAGTTTAATTTCCACTATTAAAATTGTTTCTAAATATAACTTGAAATATAATATTTATAAAGATTTACAATGAAGGATTTTTGAGATGTTAAATATTATGAATGTTTTTGACAAAATTAATTTTTAATCGGAAGTTTTTTTATTTGGATGTAGTGTTCAGTAAGCTAGTTGAAAGTTTTTAAAAAAATAAAATTACATATAACAAAAAAAAAAATTAAAAGCTATAACTTTTACTTGAATTAGCTTTTAGATAATAATTTTTTGTGAAAATAAAAAATTTTAATCTCATATTTTCATACAAATTTTTTATTTAACTCAATTTTTTTTTAAAAAAATCTTAAAGTTTTCAAAACTATCAAATAACAGTTTATAACAAGAAATTGGTTTAGAGCTTTAGGGGCACAAATAGGTTAGTCAACACAGGCATGCGGTTATAACTTATTGGCCTTTAAAATGCAATAAGGCACTTGTTGTAACATCCCAAATTTCAAGTCAAAAAATATCAATTTTGATATAACGATCTAGAAAACATTTATCATGAAACATCACCATGTCATATCATTTCATAAAATCATAATCTCATGTCTGAAAATCATATCATAAAAGTAGTAACAATGTCAGAGTACAATCCCAAGAAATCTCATAAGGCGGAATCCAATGTGTGTATGATGTGTATCTACCGCGCCGACTCCTTCCCCTTCGCTGAAGAGGTACCTGAAACAGAACTGAAAAATGTAAGCACGAAGCTTAGTGGGTTCCCCTGTCCTACCACATACCATACAATCATATAACATACATACTGTCGGACAATTCTGGAGTGCCGACCTACCCGGTACGACCATTCTGGGGTGCCGACCTACCCGTGTCAAGCCATTCTAGGGTGCGGACCTACCCATTGGTCCTAACAACCAATCCTCGGGGACTATTTCACCCCCTACTGCTACTATCACATATATCATAACATAAACATACCATCAGACATATTTGGGGTGTCTGAACTACCCTTCGGCCCTAACAACCGAACTTGGGGACTATTCCCCTCCTACTACCACTATCACATATAACATATCATGCTAGCATATAACATATCAGGTAGTAGCAAACCTAGATGATATCACAAAGATGATCATCTAACATACAACTCTTACTGATGGGTCGGTATTATGGCCGTAGACCACCACTGCTGGAAGGTAACTTACCTCGTAAGGCTAACTGCTGAAAATGTAGCACCTGGTTTCCGGTATGTGAATTTTATTTGAGCATTGCCCTAATTTAACCTTGGACTCGGCGAGTCATAGGGTCCGACTCGCCGAGTAGGGACGAGACTCAGGACACGTTTTAAGTAGGCGACTCGGCGAGTCCACATCCGGGACTCGGCGAGTCACCGCTGCTGGATGAAACCCTAAGTTTCAAGGGTTTGCACCCTATTTAAACTCTCATTCCGCCCCAACTCGTCCCCATTCACCCCCAGAACTCCCCCTACATCGTTTTCCCTTGTTTCCTTGAGAGTTTGAGGTGTTCTTGGTGTGTTCTTGAAGGTTTCGAGGAGTAAGAGGAGTGGATCAAGAAGAGGAGAAGGAGATCAGCCATCTTTGTGTTATTTCAACATTTCCTTTGAGGTATAACCCGTTTTCCCCTTGATTCTATGCTTAAAACTTCATTTGGGTCCTTCTTGGTCAATTCCCCAAGTTTGTATGTGCATTATATGTCGTAATAAGGCGTTTGGCCTTTGGATCTATGCAAGATTGAGCTCCAGGAGCTCAGATCTGTTAGCTTTTTGGCCCCATGAGGCTTGTTAGCCCTAGATCTACCCTTTTGAGACATTTTGAGCCCTATAATCCATTTGGTGAATATCCACACGTAAAGTTGGAAACTTTACGTGTGATTCGTGTCCTAGAAGTCCAGATCTATGAATGGCATGGACTGGAATCGAGCAAATCGGTATATTTAAGGAGTGCATGGCGACGACTCGGCGAGTCGCATAGGTGACTCGGCGAGTCTGGTCGCGAGTCACCGATTTGGTCCCTTCTTCATGTGTCGAGTTGAGCCATGAGTCACAGGGGGTGACTCGGTGAGTTGGGAGCTGAACTCACCCATGTTAGGACTCGGCGAGTCAATGCCCTGACTCGGCGAGTCCAAGGCAATCTTCATAGATCAAGAACAGACTCGGCGAGTTGTTCATACAACTCGGCGAGTCTTAGCATAAAGTGTTCATCGGATGAAGATGAACTCGACGAGTTGTTCATACAACTCGGCGAGTAGGATGAAGGAGTTGAATGACAGTTAGAAGGTGAACTCGTCGAGTCATAGCCCGACTCGACGAGTAGAACCAGGGACCCAGGACATTGGTTTGCTAGGGACTCGGCGAGTGGTGATCCACTCGGCGAGTCGGGTCAACTGAAAGTTGACCCTAGCTTGGCTTAGGCTAAACCAGGGGTAAAATGGTCATTTTACCTAAAGGACAGTTAGCAGTGTTTGATTGAGTATGTTGTGGGAATTGCAGCCGGAGGACTCCCGGAGCAGCAGCAGTCAGTTAGTTCCCGATCAGTTCAGCAGCTACTTTGAGGTGAGTTACCTTCCAGTAGCAGTGGGTCTAAGGCCACAATGCCGACCCACCAGTAGGAGATGTATGATAGATGATTGTCTTTGTGATATCATCTAAGTTTGCTATTACCTGACATGTTATATGCTAGCATGATATGTTGTATGTGATAGTAGTAGAGTTTGGTTGTTAGGACCGAAGGGTAGTCAGACACCCCAGATACGTCTGACAGTATGTGATGATATGTATGCATGCTGGCTTGTTATGTTATATGTGATCGTAGTAGTAGGGGGTGAAATAGTCCCCGAGGATCGGTTGTTAGGACCGATGGGTAGTCAGCACCCCAGAATGGCTTGACATGGGTAGTCAGCACCCCAGAATGGCTTGACACGGGTAAGACGGCACCCCAGAATGGCCGTATGGGTAGGTCGGCACCCCAGAATGGCCGTACCGGGTAGTCAGGCACCCCAGAATAGCCTGGCAGTACGTATGTTATGTGTTTGTATGGTATGCGGTACGTTGGGGGAACTCACTAAGCTTTGTGCTTACGTTTACAGTTTTGTTTTCAGGTACCTCTGCATCGAAGGGGAAGGAGCCGGCGCGGTAGCGGCACGTCATACACACACTCTTCGGTTTCCGCATTTATGAGATTTACTGGGATTGTACTCTGATATTTTGATGGGATGTATGGTTTGACTTTTTAGAACATGGTTGCGATGTGTTATGGTGTGAACAAACAATGTTTTTATTTATTAATGTTTTCTAAAGTAATACCTTAAAAATGAAATTTTCGGACGTAAAAATTGGGTCGTTACAAGTTGGTATCAGAGCCCTGGTTTGAGGGATTCGGACACACCTTCGGGAGTGTTTGGACTCAAATCGAGGGATTGAAAGATTTTCCAAAAGAAATTGTTCTTTAAAACCCGGAAAAGAGTCATAAGAAAGAGCAAAGTGTGTGACGTGCGCGACCGGCCGAGCTCAAGTAAGTATTCCCCATAGTACCCATACAAGTTTATGTTATGTTTATCAGCTTTATGAATATTGCATGCTAGAATAGGCTAAGGATCTAGGAGTGATGCCTTATGTGCCTGTTTATTTGCTACAGCTTATTGAATATTGCATGCTAGAATTGAGTAGACAGCAGTAGGATAGCCTGTTTAGGTTATGCCTGATAGTATGAGCTTAGCATCCTATGTTAAGTGTCGTTTCTTGTTCTAAGAACAGTTTTGGCTTGAGTCTGTTTTTCCTTATCCGAATGCTGCTTGCTTCGTGCTTGGTGGGATTCTGAGTAATGGGAGTGAGCCACTAGGTAAACACGTCACACCACATGTAATCAGGGTTGAATAATCCCAAAGTGTTGGAACTGGCCCTATTGCGCAGCTCTTGTTTGAGTCCAACCGTTGTAGGGACGGATCTTTTACTTGAAGGATTATCTAATCCTCATCACATGTGATGGTGTTTAGGTGGTGGCTAACTGGCATTATGAGGAGACCTACAGCAGCTGAGGACCAGTTGTGTTGAACTTGAGTTTTCCCTAGGGCAAGCCTAGGATGAGAATAACAGAGAGTAGCAGTAGTAAAGGGGAGTTGGTGGAGTCGAGGAATTCCTCGGAGAAGGTACGGATAGATGTGGAAGGTAGTATGGGCCCGTACTACTGAAAGCAGAGGATCCGTACCCGAGCCGAGGAAGGCCAAGACGAGACCAAGGAACCTGTAAGTAGTTGAGATCCCTCAGAAAGTAGCAGTACCACTAATGATTATTATGATGTTTTGCAGAATGGTGGTACTTCGACCGAGACCGACAGATGGCGGGTCAGGAGAGGGGTCAGGTTCGGGATCTGGCACCGAGCCGATTGAGGAGAGGCTACGTGAGTTCATCACGTCGGAGATCACTAGGGGCATCCTTGAGTCGACCCCCATCATCTTTGGGTCGATCAAGGAAGGGATCGTGGAGTTGATGGAGGATCGCCTACGGGCATTCAGGAGCGACTTGGCCTCTAGCCAGTCAGGATCTCGCACACTGTCCTTCAAGGACTTCAGGGGCAGTGGTGCGCCGGATTTCCATGGGGTGAAGGACCCCATTGTCGCCA